TGGTAGAATACGATGGGTACAAAATAACTATGATATATTCTGATACAGGATAGTAAAAGCTTCTTTATGAATGTATAGTTGAACGTGGATGTGTTGAGTGTTGATCGATGATGTTTGTCTTCTCATTTCATTAGTAAATAGTTTTAGTATATTATTGATATAGCGTTTAACTAGTTGTTTTTAGCAAAGACACGAAAGATTGACTTAAGGCTAAATTATTGTCCCGTGGAAGTGGTTCGAATATACTTTTTCTAATTCGCAGAATCTGAATCTATGTATATATGATATATTCAGAGTTTGTCAGCTATGTTCAACAAAATTGGATCTATCGACATAGTTGCTCATCACTGTATTGAGTACTGTAACCGAGATGATGAATTTTTTAATCAAAGACTATTGAAAAAATACTTTCAATTAATCGATTAAGCGTAATTAAACATGATTACTAGCTCAAATACTTTTAAGAAAGAAATTGCCTTGAACCGTAGTTCACGTTTACGTGTCTCACACACTTTCAAGTTTCATCCTGTGAACGCATTTGGTCATGGCTAATTCGTTTCTTTAGTGTGTGCGGCAGAATGCGAGTCTCGGGAATAAAACTCTTCCATCTTATTCATTTTCTTAAATTCTATTATTTTGTTTTTTGTTGGTAGGAATTCTCTACTTTTATCTTTCTGCTGCTGCTCAACTTCATACTCTTAAACAATTAAGTCTCGTTTATGGAAAATCGCTTGATACAATCCAAACAGTTCGTTATGCATTTGATTCTAATGAAGTATTTCGTGTACCATGGTATAAAGTTGGTGGTAGTTTTATTAATTTCGAACGACCATTTGGTATTTATGCGTTTTCAATTGATTCTCCTGAACATTTATCAATAAATGATATTGGTGTTGGACCTTCAGCAACAAATGATTATACTTTAAGATTTTTTGAACATTATTATCATATTCATAATAATCCAATAAAAATATTTCGTAATTATGATGAATATTTTCATGCATTAATACAAACATGGTTAACACGTGTAAGATCTGATCAAGATGATTTAGCTGATTGGGGTAAAGAAACAAAAGAATTTAATGATCTTTTAAAACATGGAACATATTTTCCATTACCTTATCGATCTGTACCAAAACCGTCAAGAAGTGATATTACAACTAAGCAATCTGAATTAAATCCTGTTTTTCCATATGCTGATCTTGTTTATGATTATTATCGTGATCCAAATTATTATCGATATGCTCGAGGATGGTTTCTAAATCAAACACAATCTGAATCAAATCAATATATGTATGAATTGAAATATGACAAAAAAAATACTTATAACAATTTATTATTTTTAAGGTTAACTTATGCAGTTTTGCCTGATCGTATGCAACGAAATTTTCTTTTACCAATGTTTGAACAGAGTCGTTGGACAGGACCTTATATATATTGTCCATTAAATTCATATGAATGGCTTGTTTCATCTATTCAACCAATTTGGGCAACAAATCATTTTAATTATAAAAATCAAGCTATTTTTCAAACCAATCGTCGTTATAAGTAAGTTAAATAATTTTCTATTTTCTATGAAAATTTCAAAGATTAAATATCATAAAGTTATGCTGGTGTCACAAATGTCGAACTTGCATATACACAGCTTAATGTTAATCAATGTCCCGGTGAACATATACGAAATGTATATGCTAACTCAGCTGTATGCGATCGTAATGCTTTTGTAAGTAGTTTAGAGATACATTTATTTATAAATCATTTAATAATAGTATTATCTGATATTTATCAAACAGGTCATTAGATATTGATTTAGTACGTGATCAAATTTTGATTTCTGAGAAAATATATATTCAAATAGATTAACATCAAAATTCTATAGATATGAAATAACTCTGATCTTGCAGAGATAAGATGCTACTCTTTCTTACGAAAGTTTTTAAATGAGTGAAAATTTAAATCGAGATTTTTGTGACTCTCTTCTCTAAGTCCTACTAACCGCAGTAAAAAGTCCGAAGCCGATGCCTATACTTTCGATAGTAATCGAGGACAACAGACTTTAGCCTCCATTCTCAGAATTTCATAGAAACGAACAAAGGTGCTGAACGAAATTAACGATAGAACTTAGGAGGCAGTGTCCTTCAGTTGAGTCTGTGTAAACTATGTATATCGAAATAAGTGATGGATACCCTGAACAAAATTCGTACTCTTAGCTTATTATTGCATAGTTACTGCACTTTTACAGTATTTTTTAAATGTATACAGGAACAACAGAAAAATCGATTTTCCAATTTCAACGTGAAATTGTGCATAGAATAATACCATGTCTTGTACATCGCTCATATGAACCAACATATTTTATGTTCGTCTTTCAAGATAAACCGAAATCAAAAGACCTGAACCTATCACAATAAACTGTTCTTGGTAGAACCTTCTGCTATGCAAAATGTTCAGTCGGAAATCAGTTTCTCTATTGTTCAGCATTCATTTAACAAATATCGTAAAATGCAATATCTTCGCAGTAAGGACATGAACTCTTTTCAGAATATTCATAGCTAATTTGGATCTACATAATGCATACAGTATCGACTCAAAAAAGTGATTTATCAATTGGAATATTTTCCTTGTTAAGCTGTTCTAGAACACGCCAAAATTTGTCTCGAAGGTTGAATGACTGAAATATGTTGGCGAGTTTTCGATGTAATGCAGTTTTCAATTTATGTACTGATAAAAAATTATATTGAAGATGTCGAGTATAATGGATATTGATGAATTGTTTTATCGCACTCGTCATATAATCAAAATAAAAAGGGCCAAACAGATCAAGTTGTAACGTCGGAAAATATCCCTAGTAACAAGACAAACACACAATAGAGTGTACTAGCATAACTCTCGTTTGATCCTGTTTAGAAGAGGAGAGAATAATCAAAAAAATCTACCAAAACTACAGAGAGACCAGTTTCTCTTCATTGCTATGTCTCGTGTTCTTAAATTTGCATAAAAGCTTCTGATCAATTCAATCATATATTTTTACTATACTTTAAAACTGTCTACATCAACAGTTCTAAAAATGATGTTTTTTCTAATATTTGTATATTATTTTGTGTATTGCTCATCATCATTTTTGTTCATATATATTTTGATATGAGCATTAATGTAATTAGTCTTTTCTTCGCCGAAACTCTATATTATTGGAGAAGGAGAATAAAGTGGACTTATTTAAAACTGTATTGCGTCACTGGAAAATTGACCGTCTGCCACCCCTGATATCCTACTAGCTTTGTAAGAGTTTTATCTAAGAAAAGTATATTAAATAAATATTTTATGAAAAGTATTAAAAATTTATGTAATTAATGACAAAATATCCATCAGATATCTACTAAGCTACTTGTTCGAAACTTGTTCAATAAAATAATACTTGAAGTTACTGTCAAGATATTATGATGACTTAGCACAAGAAATTCTTCAGTTTCTCTTCGAAAGAAAATTACAAACATAACTTTGCTTATACATAGGCAATCTATTTCACTGAACTACTAGAAATGTTAGTTATCCACAACAGAAAACTTCCAGAGAAAAATGCAGATCGCAAAACAAGAAAACATTTACGAGGAGAAAATCACCCTACTTCCTATTCATTCTCTAATACTCTCAAGATAGTATAAAAACATACTATCATTTCTCTTTATCATATATAAATTCCTATCGAATAAAATGCCTTAGAAATATTCTTAAGAGATTATTGGTACTATTATTTTTTGTTAGTGCGACCCAATTGCTGGTTTGGGTTTACAAAGTGGTGGTTATCAATGTTCATGTCATCCTAATTTTCGTTATCCATCATATGTACATACACCATATCGACCTGCATTTGATAAATATTCATCAACATCTTTACCTCGCTGTCAACCAGTTCGTCTTTTAACACAATATCCAACATGGCATGTTGATAGGTCGAAACGACATCAATATCGTCGTTCTATTCCACGGCCAAATATATTTGAAAAACTTCGTTCACTCATTTTTCATCGTCCATCAACATGTCCACCATGGTCACATATTGCTATGTTACCTGTTGAACAAAATGATGATGATAATATACGTTTTGTTAATGATTTAACTCAACATATTGATCGTATAGCTCGTCCATTTACATTACAAGCTATACGTCTTGCTCATTTATTTTCTAGTTATTTAGCATTATATAGACCTGATCGAGATCCAGCTAATGATGGTTTTATTGATCGTCGACCTGATCCTCCACTTACTGAACAATGGATTGAATCAGAAATAATGAGTATAGGTTTAGCTTATACACAACTATTAGAAGTTAGTATATATCTAAATGGTTCTGAATATGAAAGACAAAATCCATTTCAACAACGAAATGAATTATATGAAGGACAAAATGAATTTGGTTATAGAACAAGTGTATTTCGACATATGAACTATGGTTTATCATTTATACGTTTTGATAATGATGATAATAAATATATTCTTAATCGAACATTAGATGGAAGTTATTTAAATGAAGGTGGATGGTAT